AACCATTAGCTAAGCCATCACTTACATCAATATTAGTTGTTATAATGTAAAATTTATTCAGAACTAAAATTATTTCATACGGCAAACCCGCGGTATCAATAACCGATTTTTGTGAAACTGCTGACGAATGTATGATTGTTGATCTGTCGCATGGCAACCTACATAAATATCCGTGGCAGTAGATATTATTTTGTCTTCAACGAGATTCAGTATAAATTTATTATATTCCATGACACATTTATTCTCTAAGAAAAGTCTTATTCCATGAGGACATAACATAAAAAACATGATTCAATTAATGCAAGTTCATATAGGGTTTAGCGCTCGACTTACGCATGACATGACGGGAGTGGATACTCGCGACATCAGCGCTTACGGCGTCGTAGTGTTCAACTACACGTTGGCATTTTCGTTGCATTTGTACGGATTTACACCCGTGTAGCCTAAAGAAATTTTTACACCCATATCGCGCCTAAAGAAGTTTTACTTCAATAAAAAACAAGAAAAGTTTTTAAAAAAACAATTTCTTTATTTAATTATTTGTTTATTGTCGACGTTTCGGAACTAGGTACGTTCCATCTTCAGGACATCTGTCAAGAAACATGATCTGATGAGATTTTAGCAAACAATATGTTTAGGAAAAGAAAATAGATTTTTCTTAAATAATGAATTAAATTGTAAAAAATATAATAATGTACAGAATATGATAATTTGTTCAAAATAAAAATGATAAAAATAAATGAGTGGATTATCAGAACAGGATATAAACATAATAAAAAATTTTTTTTGAAAGTTATGGAAATTTTTTAAGAAAAGGTTAATGACAAAGTTGAATTAATTACCTGTATGTTTGAATATTTGTTAGCACTTTTTCACTAACAAGCTTTTTAACAAAAATGATTTTGTGAGTTAATTTTCCGCCGAATAATTAGATTTGTAAATCAAAATTACTAAAAAATTTGTCTTTTTTAAAATTATTATTTGAAAACACAAATAATATTGTTCTCTGGATGTTGTTCGATTGGTTTTCGAAAATTAACTAAATGAAACTGGGTGCCTTTTGTAACACGTGTAAACACTTGAACGAGAGATGTGAGATTGTATGTGTGTGTTTTTATATGTCAGGGTGTGAATACTAAAATTGTTGATTAAAAGGAAGTCGATATTAATTGTTTGTCAAAAGTGTAAAAAATTTAAATATGAATCATGTAATAGGTGTGATCTGATCTAATGTTGACACTGTTAGAAACAGTTATGAGGATGAGACAACTCTCCGCGAATAACCTTCTAAAGATGCAACTTTCGTGATATAAAATCTTTGGAGTTGCATCTTTAGAAGGTTATTCGCGGAGAGTTGTCTCATCCTCATAAATGTTTCTAACAGTGTCAACATTAGATCAGATCACAACCTATTACATGATTCATATTTAAATTTTTTACACTTTTTGACAAACAATTAATATCGACTTCCTTTTAAGATCAACAATTTAAGTATTTCACACCCTGACATATAAAAACACACACATACAATCTCACATCTCTCGTTCAAGTGTTTACACGTGTTACAAAAGGCACACCAGTTTCATTTAGTTAATTTTCGAAAACCAATCGAACAACATCCAGAGAACAATATTATTTGTGTTTTCAAATAATAATTTTAAAAAGACAAATTTTTTAGTAATTTTGATTTACAAAATCTAATTATTCGGCGGAAAATTAACTCACAAAATCATTTTTGTTAAAAAAGCTTGTTTAGTGAAAAAGTGCTAACAAATATTCAAACATACAGGTAATTAATTCAACTTTGTCATAACCTTTTCTTAAAAAATTTCCATAACTTTCAAAAAAAATTTCTATTATGTTTAATATCCTGTTCTGATAATCCACTCATTTATTTTTATCATTTTTATTTTGAACATATTATCATATTTCTGTACATTATTATATTTTTTACAATTTAATTCATATTTAAGAAAATCTATTTTCTTTTCTAAACATATTGTTTGCTAAAATCTCATCAAGATCATGTTTCTTGACAGATGTCCTGAAGATGGAACGTACCTAGTTCCGAAACGTCGACAATAAACAAATAAATAAAGAAATTGTTTTTTTAAAAACTTTTCTTGTTTTTTATTTTGTATTATTTTTGGATTCTTGTTCGAAACTCTACAAATATATATATATATATATATATATATATATATATAATGCATTTGTTTGTATTTATGAATATATTAATTATTACATTAAAAGAAATATTGAGATATAATTTAGCATCGTCATTATCATTTTCATTATTTATGATAATTAATAATTTTTATTTAAGTATTAGTAATACTTATGATTAGACTTTAAGTGCCTCATTAATTCATCAAAATAATTTTTATTTGAATATATTTTTCTTATTTTGGAATATCAACATGAATCCTGCAGCATTTGCAAAGCTATTTGCACTTGAAAACAATTTTTTATGTACATTTTGATATGAAAACTAATATCACTGATGCTTGGTATCAGGTTGAACGATGAGGGTATCGTGGATTCCTGTGCTTGCAAGACAGAAGCTCTTTCCACAGAAACAGGCAAAGCCCAAAATTATATAAGAACTAGCTGTAAGTGGAATTCTGTCTTAAGGCAATTAGGGCATCGTGCCTTAAGGCAAATTGCTGGAACTTCCCGTACCAAAAATTATATTTTTTTAAAAACGATTAACATTTTTGAAAAAAGATTAATTAAAAAAAAATAGATTTGAGAAACTACAAATTTGACAAAAAATTACTTTTTTTTTGAAAAAAAAAATTTATATGAAAAAAAATATTTTTTTTTGAAAAAAATTTTTTTTTGGATACAAAAATTTTTTTGAAAAAAATGTTTTTTTCATTTTGACATATTTTGGAAATTCTGAACTTTTTTCAAAGCAATCGCACTGCTTGAACTGCTTAGAGACGAAATGTCAAAGCGCGCATGTGCCGCGCCGCCGTCTAACGCATAAGCATTGGTACGGAACCCATAAAAATGTAAAAAAAAATATACTTATTGTTAAAATCTCTATAAAATATCTGATAATTTGATGTGCATATGTCTAATGATAATTTTAACCGCCGAACGGCATTATTTTTTACTTTTTTCATTAGATCTCCGAAACCGCTAGACCTACCTCCATGAAAATTTGATCAATTCTACATCTTGTCAATACAAGTAAAATGTTTTTTGAATTATTCAAATCGGACGCTCCGTTCTCTTAAAAACGGAGGTACCGTTCTTGTCACTTTTTGCCCCGTATCTTCGGAACGGCTAGACCTGCCTTTGCCAAAAACTAATCAGCACGTCTCCTTATCAATACGAATCGAATGTTTTTTGAATTATTCAAATCGGTTGATCCGTGTTCCCGAAATCGTCGACGAAAATTTGTATCCGCACATACATACACACACATACATACATACATACATACATACATACATACATACACACACACACACACACACACACACACACATACATCCATTTTTTCTAAGGTATGCCAAAATGTTCAGAAGGTTTTGAAACGTCGAGAAATGCAAAAATTTTCATTTTCGATTTTTTTGCGATTACTATAACTTACCCTACGGGAAGTTAACAATCAATAATATTTATATAATATAATCTGAAAAACTTTTATTAAATTATTAAATAGCTTTTGCAATTCAATTGCAAGAGAAAAAAGTAAGCAAACGAAAATGTTAAACCATGGTAAATCCAACCCTTTAAAGGGCTCGATGTGAACAAAAAAATATAAATGAATTTAAAGAACACATTTAAAACTTTGAAAGAATAAAATTGAAAGGTTTAAGGTTTGTTTTGTGAATACTTATATACAATATGAATTTCCATCCAAAAATAGAAAGAAACTACGATTCTCTAATTAAATAAAATTTGACTTGATAAGCAAGAAGTTCATCAGGTTTTATTTTTTAAAAATCTTGTGTTGATTATAACAGCATGTAAAAAATTTAATGAACTTAATTTCAAAAGCAATGCGATTTTTTAATTAAAATTGATTTATTTAATTTATGCTTAATGTATTTGTTAAACCCAAACAAGGTTTTAAGATATATTTAATTAAAGATATATTAATAAAAAAAAAATTGGAACCAATGTTAAGTTGATTACATACCCAGAAAAGAAAGTATTCTGAATTTATATATATATATATATATATATATATATATATATATATATATATTTTAAAAAATATAACAAAAACCTGGAATAAGTTGGTAGCAAAGCTAAAAATATTGGGGTTTTTGGTGAGCATATTAAAAAAATTAGTATTAATTGTATATTTTAATTTATTCTATATTGCACATTTTTGACTAAATTTATAATAAATATCTACTAATTATAATATTGATGTTTGGTTTTTATTAACAGCCATTGGAGTAACTAAGCTAAATATGTAATAGTCCTGCAACACAATCTTTTTAAAAAACAAAACTAATTTGTGTTAAATAAATAATTTTAAAATTATCAAATAAGAGTTTAAAATATTTTTGGGTTCAAATCATTTTCATAAAAAAATTCTTATGTTGCAGGATCATAAAGTTATTTATATCTTATGGACACATATGTATTTACATAAATTGTGCACAAACTCTATACACATATAAATTGCATTAAACATTTACATTAAATATCATTTGAATTATCTACACATGATATATTGTTTATATACATATTTTAATATATTTTTTTCCGAAACAAATGAATTTCACAACATTTTTGGTTATAGACTTTAATCATTGCTTTGTGAGATATGTTGCTGATTATATTTTATGGTGTCAATTGAATGAACATATTGCTTTTTTTGTTGAAACATTGTAACATCAATCTAATTTTTTACCAAATTTTTATGGATCAGTATTGGCAACTCATCGTCGATTCATAAAAACCATTTCATTATAAAGAAAAAATCTCAATTCATAACATCTTTCTATAAATGTTTTTATAACAATTTACTGTCACTTTGCAATTATCTTACGTTGATTTTTCTCCTCCTCATCCAAAGAATCACCTTCTTTATCCTGATGAGCAGTCATATGCCTCGTCAAATGATGTCTTTCTCTAAAACTCTCAAAACAAACTGGACATCTCAATTTATCCTCTCGTCTCCTCCTGGCAGGGTCAGCCTGGGTCTCACTTTTATGATGCGACCTCATGTGGTAAACCAGATCCGATGTCATCCTGAAACTAACATTGCATTTGGCACAAACATTCTGAGCTGGTAGAGAAAATGTTGCAGAAAACGTTTGTGGTAACAATGATGTCAAAATTGCTGCAGCAGCTGCAGGATGCCTTAAAACGTTCATCTCCTGTGGAGGACTTGGCTGGACAGGTGGAAACGTTTGGTAAGGTGTAAAATCTGGTCTGTATGATAGTATTGGTCGAAATTTATCAGTGAATGTTTGTTCTGGATAAGCCAGAAGCTGGTGGAAATTGGATGGATGTCCAATGTATCCTGGTAAAGCTGTTGGGCTTTGAGGAAGAACTGGTGGGCTCAAAGATTCTTGACAATTTAAGACATCCGGACTTGTAGATGGAGCATACTTGTTACTTGGCTGCATATATGATACTTTGGTGAAAGCACTCCTTGTAGCATCAGTTTTTACTCGTAATTGGTTAGATTTTGGTGTTTCTTCCGGTTCAGGGCTTCTTGTTAAATTGATGGTTTGGGTTTCGATTTGCTCTTGAAGTCTCCTTTGTTTGAGTTTTTCATCTGGTAACATCAAGAAGGCAACGTCAAATGGACGTTTTGTTGTGCTTTTGATCGGAGCAGAAGTTTCTGTAAAACCTCTTGGGGTTTCTGCAGTTTTTGGAGAATTTCTTTCTGACATTTTTGCAATGTGCCTGCCACTTGGTTTTTGAATGTCCATGATCATTGTAAGATAAATATCATATCGAAAGAGACAAAATTAATGAATCTGGTGGGATTGAAGATAACGCTTCAATACTTAAAATTATTCATTATAATCAAGAGTTAAAATTGTGAATTTAATTAAAAATCTTGTCCAGGACTACAATAATGAACACTTCATATATTGTTTATTTGGATTAAATATGAGCAATAAAGATCTTTAAATAATTTTTGCCAATCACTTTCACTTGATGCACTTATCTTTACTTCAGATATTATGGTATGTGGCGTTTTGCTGGTGTCACTAATAATGCAAAATATTTGAGGGCTCACCAAACAAAAATATGTATATAATGTAATTAAATTCGTATTTTTGTAGATCTAGTTCAAAAATCACTATTTATTATATTGCATATCACTTGATAATACTATCATTATAATAATTTCTAAATTTTCCACATAAGTTTCTTATATCCACTATGTCACGATTAGAAAAACCATCCCTTACACAAAACACATGTGCTACTTTCGGCGTATCGAAGCGAAGTGGCAAGAATCTTGTCGGAACATATTTTAATTCCAACCCTAAACCGGCCCAGGGTGGGGGTTGGACGGATCGGATGCGGAAAATATTTCGTTTTTAGGAGGGTGGATATATTCATGGGCGTCGCCGAGCAACCCTCTGCCAATAGCGTATGGGGGTAGTTCGGCTTGCTCGCCAATCCCGTACTTGAATTGATATAGTTTATGTGTGTATATTATATAAAGGGATGTTTTGTTTAGATGTGTGGGTGTAATGCTCTGGTATAAGGGATGAATGTGTACTTTGCGAGGAATAGAGAAGTAGGGGTAGTTATGTTTTGCGGTTGCCTTCAAGCTGTCTCTATCTGAAAATGTGTTCCACGCTTATGCCAGAATAATATAACGATATATATATGAATATATTTCGAATATACTATGTATATGAATATATACATAGCATATATATATATATATATATATATATATATATATACAAGTTTATATGTACCTAGTTAGTTGAAGGGTTTGTTCAGAGATAATTAATAAGATAATATCAGTATACACACATATATATATATACATATGCATATATATGTATGCAATGTGCTTGTTGCTTACAATTTCCATTTTATTCAAGCAATTTTATTATATAATTTATATTTAAAATAATGTATTAAAATATCATTTATTTACATATTAAAATTTATAAGACTTATAAATTAACTGAAGCTTCAATTCATCCAGTTTTATGAATAAAGCTATTTTCGCAATAACCAATTTATTTACTTTTTATTTTATTTTATTTAATACATTTTATATGTAATATTTTGTTGTTCATGTTTATTAAAAAATAGTTAAACTTAATATTTATAAAATTAATTACTCATAACTTTTCGCAATATTTCACAGTAAAGAAAAACAAAAAATAGTTATAATTGTTATAATATAATTTCATTTTCTTACGAACACGGTCTAGAACTATTAAGATGTTAAACCTTTATTTAAAAAGACTGAATTTATATTAAATAAATGGAATTTTTATTAAAAGAATTTATGATATTTATTAGAATATTATATATTCTCAGGTATATAATAAATTCATACTAAATAAATTTGGCATATGTGCAAATAGCTCTTTTTGTAATTTTTTAAGAAGTTGTAATGACCAATCTCTTGTCAGAGGCAAAATATGTCCAAAAATTTTATAATTAATGTTATAATAAATTTATATATTATTAAAAAAAAAATTTATAAGGTATTTTTGTTGGTATTATTTACAGTAAATAATGAACAGAACTTATTATAATATCTTCACCAGTTTTGTTTATAAAATTATTATCAACTGTTATTCGTTTATTTTTGTAAAAGCTTATGAGCAATAAAAAAAGTAGTATTTATAAAAATATTGAAATTAATTTTTTTTTTTTTTAAATTAACACTTTTCCTCAAAATTATTTCTATTGATATTGGTGATCGCATCGCCTATTCTTTTTATTTCAACAGCGATCAGAACTTATGGGTTCTATGAGCTGTTATGATTAATATCTTACAAACTACGTTTGTTTTTATTATAGATGGCAACCCAAACAGTTGTCTCATCTCTATGAGCTGAATTTTTATTATTACAATTACTGTAATAGTGATGCATTTAATTGGTGCAGCAATGCCGTATTAGGGCTCTTTTCACTTGAAAACATATTGCTATCTATATTTCCAAGTGAAAATTGTTGTCACTGCTGCCTGACAACAGCCTGCTCGAAGTGGGTATCGAACCCGGGACCCCTGATCCAGGTCCAGTGGTTCTAGCCACTTACCTACGAGCGAGCCCGCATCGCTCTTTCTAATCATAACTCCCGGGTTCAAATCTGGATTTCGGACAACCTAAATCAATCAAGCAGTAGTGACAGTCATTTTGTTTTGTAGATACAGATCAAAAATGGTTACAAATAAAATATTATTTATTCCAAAATATATCATCACTATTCGAAAAAGGGTAACAATTGAGCTGCTTTCTAATGCAAAGAGATAGAGTCAAACCATTACGTTGCCATCTTCTTCACCTTGCTTTTTGGCAAGAAGTATCCACATCCAATAAAGCTCTGAATGTTGTTCAGAAAACAGTAGAACTAACTGATAATTTGAATTTGGCAAAACTACTGAATATAAAGATATAACCTTCGGAATTCAATTGTTATCATAATATATTATTTAAAAAAGTTTCAGAATCCCTACATGTACAATGTAAAAAGAGTAAGTAATGAACGTACGGTTTCTAAGAAAGAAATTGTCAGTGTTCGTATTTTTCATCCTATCACAATGGGCAAAGTGCCAAAGCAAAACTCTTCTTTTTTGTATCATAGTCGTCATAAGATCATTTTAAGCATATGCGATGGAAAAAATTGGCGCGAGCAGCCGCTCGCTTTATATGTTAATTCGTATTAGACTTTCTGGAGGATAGAAAATAAAACCAGAAAATTATTTGGATGTATGACATATAAAAGTACAGTAGAGTTCGGATTTAATAACTTTGAAAGGCAATATTTAGTCGTATTAACCGGACTAACCCCATCTCTTGGGTTTTAAAGCCTGACACTCTATTTAACCTGTATTATTTAAGCGAGTATAAATCTTTTTATTTCAAAATACAAGTGAAAGGGTCGACGTAATTTATTCAAATTATTTAATTTTATTCTGTATGAGTGCTAACGGTCACTACATACCCCCATTTTTCGTATTTTCTAATCAAAGAATGAAAATCTTATGATGAATGCTCTAGCTGAGAGCATCGGTGTGGCCCAGCCAAAAGGGTGGATAATTAGTTATTTTTTTGCAATATCTAAGAATATTCGTCAAACACAAACGTGCAGATATTCCAGAGTGTGGAGATGGCTACATATGTGTTCAATGTTGGTTATTTTGAAATGTCCGGTACTAGGTGCCACTTCGTAAAATCACATTTTTTGTTATCAAAGTTTGATTGATAGTATTAATTATGGTTTAGCAAAAATTGCATTTTTTGTTAATTTAGTTTGATTTCCAACTTGTTTATCTAAGTCATAATTTAATAAACATTTCGTAAAATATTTTTTGATTTATTTATAAAAAACCTTAGGTGTTATTTATTAGCAATTATTTCAAACAAGAACCAGCGTCGCAAAATTTAGGTACCGAAATGATCATACTTCAATAAGAACAGTAGATATATCAATTAACGAAATTATGATATTTATCACAAAATACTTAGATTGGTTGGTTAAAAAGGAAGAATCAGGTTGTCGATCAAATAATGTTTGATGTTCAAACGTCCCGTTGAACAAATTTCTTGCAACAAATTCAAGAACAAGATTGAAAAACACTGTTTGGAAAAACGACTGAAGATGATGAAGAAACTTTTGGCATCAAATATATCCATTCAATACACTGAAAAAGTATTTTAACAATAATTATTAGTAAGTGTTCATGATGATAATTAGATATCTATGAAAATGTATGGATGAATGGTCCATCCATACTGATTGCTGAATCTTGCCCATGCGTAAAGACAAATGCCAACTTCCCCCGGCTTCTCTAATTTTTATTTTCCATTTACTAATATGTTCAGATCGTAATTCCGCCCTTGTCGTATAAAGATATCTATTTAAATATATATTTAATATTCTATTAGTGATATTTAGCTGGCACGTGTCCCGTATTATATTAGCAAAATGCGTTTCTCCTTTGCGATCTGATAGCGACTATATGCTCACGTGCTCCTTTTATCTGCAGCCACAGCTTGGATTTGTATTCCAATGACACAATTTGGAACTAAATGACAGAAGTCATATCATTTATTAGAGACATTATCTTCTAATCTTCTTAAGCAACTGCTGTTTAATAGATAAGTTTAAATTTATGGTCGGAATGGGAATTTGGATATCAATATAATTTTTTATTACCGTGCCTCAAATGAAAGCTTATTGATAAAATTTTGACACTTGCTCAACCCTTTTGAACTGAAAAGCAAAAGTGCTAAAATTCAGATAAACGAGTGGTGCATTGCATCGTAATGAAAGCTTATTAATAAAATTTTGACACTTGTCTAACCCTTTTTAACTAAAAATCAAAGCGTGCTAAAATTTAGATAAACTAGTAGTGTATGGCATCGTCCCTTAAAGCAAATTGCTGGAACTTCCCGCATATTGAAGATATATTTAAGAAATATTAAATGTTTTCAAATAGATTATTATAAGTACTGTAACTTCGTTCGTTTATTTAACTTAATCATACGGAGTTTAAATAAGGGGTATTGTCTAATATAAGAATTATATAAACCGATTTACAAGGTTAAAATTATTTATTTGATCTTTAGAACTTTGGCAAGAATTAGAATTAAAGTTCGTTTTTTTTATATTCAAAAAAAAATGGAAATTAAAAAAAAAATAAAAAAAATCATTCCTCAAAAGCAATCGTTTCATCATTACAAACAGTTCTTTCAAAAACTGCCCTTTTCTGCTTCGTATTTCC